TTTTTTTTTTTTATGTTTGGTTATTTTTGAGAGAGAGCCAGGGGAAGGGGCAGAAACAGAGGAGGACAGAGAATCTCAAGCAGGCTCCACACCATCAGGGCTCGAACTCACAATCTGTGAGATCATGACCTGAGCCAAAATCAAGAGTTGGATGCTTAATCAACTGAGCCACCTCCAGGATTATTCTTTTTTTTTTTTTTTTATGAAATTTATTGTCAAATTGGTTTCCATACAACACCCAATTTTTTTTCCAGCATTATTCTTAATAGCAAAGCACTGGCGACTGCCCAAATGCTCACCAACAGAATTGGGTACAATCACACACAAGTACGGTAGTACTTAGTGACTGTACTAAGAATAACCACACACGATGTGAGTTTCAGAAACACAATGTAAAGTGAAAGAAACCAGACACAAAAAAAGTATATACTGCATGATTTCAGTTATAAAAAGGCTGGACTGGATGTTGTGATGCAACACTTGGGTCCCCCCAGGAAAAGAGGACTCTTTCCTAGCTTCTGGGAGAGGGGCCAACACATACCCAGCAGCTGTCAGCCTTCTTCAGAAACTGCCTCTGCAGAAAAGAGCAACAGTGGCCAAGGGCATTCCCCTTCCCTGGGCAGCCAATCACTGGTCAACACAGGGGCGTCAGTGACTATTTCTTCTGCAACATGGAACATCTCTGAGGGCCTTTCCATGACTCCATAGGGTCAAATCAGGCTTCCGCTAAGACTGAATCACAGCTCAACTTTTCCCTCTACCCAACCCCACTCCCTTCCTCTCTCTCCTCTTCCATGAGCATTGATCCCAAGGGCTCTCCCTAATAAATTTCCTGAACTCTAACCTTGCTCTCAGAGTCTGCTTCCCAGGGTATCCACACTTTGGCACAAGCAAATTGGACCCACGATGTAAGAAGTGAGGATAGCAATGACCACCTGGGGGAAAACAGGGAGGGAACAGAAGGACAGGAAGGACAGCATCTAGGGTGCAGATTAATAGTCTTTGTTTTTTAAAGTCTGGATGCTGGCCGTATAACTGTTCAAATGGGAGAAATTCATTGAACCATACATCTGTAAAATGTGCGCTGCTTCCTACGTATGCCACACTTAAATATGAGGTTCAAATAAAATAAGACAAACTAGAAAACGACCTGGAACAGACCCTTTAAAGAACATTTAGTCCGACCTCCCTGTGCACCAGTTAAATAATCATTTATTGTGCATTTAAATGTAACCCAGAGAAGTCCAAAGAAGCCTAACCTGAGATTACAAACCAACCGGTGGCAAACCACAACCATGCCTGGACCCCCCGGCAGCAGGCTTGTAGTGTCTTCACCAGACAATGCCCCGATGGGTAGCCACAGGAGTCAAATCTGAGGCCAAGGAAGGGCCTGCTGCAGCCAGCTCACCAACAAGTCAGCTATGCTTGCCAAAAACTCAACCCTTAGATAAGCCAAAATGCTAGCTTGCACCCCAAATGTACCTTTACATACCCTCACCTTTGAATCTTCCGTAAGAAACAGCCCAGGTTCTGAAATCAGAAGATGGAAAAACCTTTCCAATGTAGACAAAACAGCATGCTTCCATCCTCTGTTGTGTTCTCTCAAGAAAGCATAATCTGGTTTTACCACAGCTGGCTGTTTTTACTACTTATCCTCTCAGCCTCCCCTTTTTAAAAGCAATTTTTGGTTTATTTAAAATGTCATCTCTCTTCCCCTTTTACATAAGGACAAAGAAACGAAACACAAAGAGGACAAAATATATCCTCAATTCGGATGGTAAAGCCCTTCCCTTTCCTAGGTAGCCTATTCCTGACGCTGGTCGTTTGGGTCACTCCCATTTTCAAAACCACTCATCCAAACTCCGCAGAATTTCAGACCAAATGACTCCTTTAAAATGATGATGAAGGGGCGCCTGGGTGGCGCAGTCGGTTAGGCGTCCGACTTCAGCCAGGTCACGATCTCGCGGTCCGTGAGTTCGAGCCCCGCGTCGGGCTCTAGGCTGATGGCTCAGAGCCTGGAGCCTGTTTCCGATTCTGTGTCTCCCTCTCTCTCTGCCCCTCCCCCGTTCATGCTCTGTCTCTCTCTGTCCCAAAAATAAATAAACGTTGAAAAAAAAAATTAAAAAAATAAATAAATAAATAAATAAATAAAATGATGATGAAGACAGCACCAAAGGAAAGGGTGTGGAACTACTGGAACAAAATTCATTACTTTTTCTCAAAAACAATTTAATCACTCTTTGAGATATAAGAACTAAAGGTCGCAGTGGTCTCTAGGAAACTTAAAGGGTGATCACTGCCCCATTTTCATGAACGTTTGATACCAACAAAGAAGAATATGAGGAGTTTTATCTACTGAAGTTCCAATGCATTATTTACATTGGATCTAAGAAGAGAATCAAATACATTTTAATCTTTCAGCTTTTTTGTTATGATTGTTTTATCTTTGTCGGTTTTTCTTGGATAAAGAGTAAGAGTGTACAACCCCACAACTAAGTTCCAATGAAAATTTTTAGGCTTGAGCCTAAACAGCCAAACACGCTTGGATTTCCCAAACGTTTTTGGAGGAAGACATCACAGAATATACACAAATTATTTAGATCTTTTTTAAAAGGGTTTGCCTCCCAAGTAATTATAAATAAATTGATCTCCTTTCAAGGGCTGAAAAACAGTGCAACAATAATGTGCACTTCATCTTGAAAATTCAACAAGAAGCTAGCTAGGAATTTGCCACATACTGTTTCTTAGGTCATTCATTGATTTTTTTCATCCATTCAACAAAATTTTTTTTGAATGCCTATTCTGCCTTGAAGCAAAAACCTGATTAAGTGCTCTTCTATATGTATGCTCATAAAAAGATCTCAAAACATTCTTTTTGCCCACTAAAGAGAACTCCAGAACCCTCCTCCCACCAAATATCAAGAAGTAATTTTGGGGCGCCTGGATAGCTCAGTCAGTTAAGTGTCTGACTCTTGCTTTGGCTCAGGTCATGATCTCACAGTTTAGGAGTTCAAGCCCTGCATCAGGCTCTGCGCTGTCAGTGCAGAGCCTGGTTTGGATTCTGTCTCTCCCTCTCTCTCTGCCCCTCCCTGGCTCATTCTCTCACTCTCTCTCAAAATAAATAAATAAACTTAAAATAATTTTTTTTTTTTAAAAAGTAATTTACTTCCTGACTCTATTCTGTTCTAGTCTTTTATAAACAGATGAAGAATGTTTTCTGAGAATTTTTTAAAAGGTACCATGCTTACCTTCCCACTAAAATACCTGTGGCCCTTCCAAAATTTAGAAGCTACAAAAATCAGACCAAATCTGTTTCCAGGGAAGAATGACAGTACTTTGTTAAAGGACTAAGATGGGTATTATCAGAGCTAGCCAACAGTTTTAAGGGGTACCTCTGTCACACCTTCCCAAGCTCACTGAGCCATCTGTCTGCAGGGAATGTTCCCTCCTTCACAAAACTGGGACCAAAAGCCAAGTCTCTGTCTTCTTGTTCACAAAAAGGCTGCTTTTCTGGGGCCACCTCTAAAGAACATTCCCAACAGAGCAGGAGAGTACTCCAGGCAATGACTGGAGCAGACCAACAGATCAAAGAAATATCCACTCTAGCTATATTAGTAAATGTGATTTCAACTGTGCTGCAGTTCAAATCTTAAAAGCAGTCTACCTCAGTTGGCCCAGCATACATCATGGGAGATGGGAAGATGGCCACCACTGTTGTTTCTGGATTCAGGACTCCTTCTTCCAGTACTGCAGCATGCTGCTTCATACGCCACATCAAAGGGACATCATCATCCTTGGTCCAACCCCCAAGAGGGTGAAGGAGAAGGACAGGGCGCCGATAGCCCCTCTCTAGAAGTTGTTTATGGGTATCCTGCATTAACAGAGCATGTCCATTGTGCACTGGGTTGCGTAATTGAAATGCAAAGACAGCATCTGAAAAGAGAATTTCCAGAGTCAAGAATAGTACTTTTCTAACAGATTACCTTCCAAAGGATAAGCAATTCTTCCTAAAGCTTGATGCTTAGGATTAAACAAACATACATGCCCACAATCAGAGACTGGTGAAAAACATATACTGCTTTGACCTTTTACTCCAAGGCAACTTGACCTCTACTTCTGCTATGTTTTTACTTTACAAATTTTACATGTCTGAGGATGTGTAATAGAATGGTCATGGATTTACAACAATTGCTTTCTGCATTCATGGGAAACGAGAATAATCACCAGACTTTCTGGTCCCAACATCCTGGTTCAGCTGCTCACAATGGATATAATTTCTTGGCCTGTGCCTTAATTACCCACCAGGTCAATCCCTCCACAGTACCTAAGACACTGCATTATTAAAAGGAGACAGGAAGGTAGAAAAACTTATAGTTTAAAAAAGTTACTTACTATCCAAATGTGCTCATATACACTGATTTTAACTTTGCTTGACTAGAACCCTATGTTGTTTTGTGATGCCAGGTCTAGATTTTGTATTACAGTTTTTAGCAACAACACTATCCCTCACAAGAGCCATTGCTATTACCCAAGCAATGAAAACTCCTAGACTAATTCTGCTTACAACCCTGCCTTTACTCCCACATGGAGCTTGCTAACAGGCTATGTTCTTAGAAAGCATGGTTCTTTGGAGTCATAGAGAAATTTCACAGAACAGAGTGGTGAACCCAGTTAGAAGAGCTGTGTGTTTTACTGCCCTCACAACATGTGGTAGAGCATCAAGCCATGTTGGTCGAAGCCTGACTCAGAAGAATATCTTCCCCTCTTCTAACAACTGTAAGCCAAATCATACAATGTCTTCCCCAATCTGTTCTGAATTCTGTCTTCTATCATGATGACAAAAGGCCACAGGAGGAAATTTGTGACACCTTATTTGACCAGCAGTTTGCGTTTTTTTGAGCGCGGGGGGGGGGGGGGGGGGGGGGGGCACACATCCTGCGATATTCCAAGATTTACAGCATTATTGTTATGCTTTGAAGTTGTTAGGTTACCTTTTATACATGAACAAGGCTGGTTTTCACCCATGAAATAGCTGATACAAAGTACAAAGAATAAGAAAGTCTTGATACAAATATATGAGCATTTAAAACTATTCTGCCTTAAGGAGATGGGAAGAGGGTACACACCCGAAAGTTTTTCTATCCTGAATTCACTTCAAATTTTGTTTTATATATGGATATAAAAAGATCCCCAAACATCCCTTTGACCATTAAGTAAAACTCCAGAATTCCTCCTACTCTGGGAGCAAGAAGCAATTTTACCTCCTGACTCTACTGCATATACTCTAGTCCTTCATAAAAGGACAAATGAAGAATGTATATATTTCCCCACTTAGGAGATTACTGCCTGACCTTACCCACTCTGATTCCGGCCTAAGTCTGGTCACTCACCTCTCTTCCCTTCACTTTATGCTGCCCATTCTTTATAAACAGCCTGATCTCAACAAACACACTTAGTAAGCATCAGTGAATCCTCCTCCTGGGCCAATGGGAGTCACTGCACTGATAGGGAGCGGGGGGAGACTCCAGACTCACACCTCAGGGAGTGGGGAGGACTCTGGGCCAGCACAAGCCTGCAGGACCACGGCCAAGGAGACCACCTGTTTGGGAGACTGCTTATATACAGCAAGGGAGGGCAAATACGTAAATATAGTAAGGATAATGGGAGCCAGGATTCTCAACTGTAGGAGATGGTGGCGCCTGGGTGGCTCAGCTGGTTGAGAGTCTGACTTTGGCTCAGATCATGATCTCACAGTTTGTGGGTTCAAGCCTGCATCAGGCTCGCTGCCTGATGGCTTGTCAGCCCAGAGCCTGCTTCGGAACCTCTGTCTCCCTCCCTCTCTCTGCCCCTTCCCGACTATTAAATTAAAAACATTAAAACAAAAAACTGTCGGAGATGGAAGACATAAATACGGAAAGGAGAAAGGCTAGAATAGACTATGCGGTACTGAATTAGGACTGAAAGTATCGGCATGAGCTCATGGTCTTCACCTATAAATGTGTGGGGTTATTTGTGTGTGTGTGTGTGTGTGCATATACATATACACACCTTTTAGTTCTGTCCACTGAAAGGTCCTGCAAGCAACCACTACCCAAGGACAATGAGCAAAACAAAAGCACAAATTTTCTATTCTAAATACCACTGGTAAAATGGCTGATTCTAGGGCTAGGGCAAGGCAAGTACAACATGAGCTGGAACATCTTGTGTGTCATAAAGAAAGGAAGTGCTCAGAAAATGAGTGGGTAGAGCAACCAGTATGACCCAATGACTAACCCCAATGGCCAACCCAGGACAAGTTAAACACCAACGTAAATAATAATGCTAATGATAGTAATGAATTGTAACCTACTGAGTAAAACAGGAATATGTGAGTACATAAAAAATAAAATCAACAAGGGGCACCGGGTGGCTCAGTCAGTTAAGCATCCGACTTCGGCTCAGGTCATGATCTCGCGGTCTGTGAGTTCGAGCCCTGAATCAGGCTCTGTGCTGACAATTTAGAGCCTGGAGCCTGCTTCAGATTCTGTGTCTCCCTCTCTCTCTACCACTCCCCCGCTCATCCTCCCTCTCTCAAAAATAAATAAACATTAAAAAAAATTTAAGAATAAAATAAATGAATAAACCAATGGGAGAGAATGGAATACTCTACCTTATGGCAGAAGGTCAACAAACAAATGTAGGAAGAATGACAATTAGAAAACTCACCACTTGGCAGTATCTGGTTTTTGTTTGTTTTGTTACTTTCTAGAATTTATTTATTTTTTATAATTTACATCCAAATTAGTTAGCACATGGTGCAACAATGATTTCAGGAGTAGATTACTTAAGCCCCTTACCTATTTAGCCCATCCTCCCCCCGCCCACAACCCCTCCAGCAACCCTCTGTTTATTCTCTGTATTTAAGAGTCTCTTAATGTTTTATGCCCCTCCATGCTTTTATATTATTTTTGCTTCCCTTAAAACTAGTGGGTAAAAGTTTGATAATAGGATATTTATAGTTTCAAAATCTCTCTCCAAAAATACTTCTTAGTAAGTACAAAATTTGTTAACTTTACAGCAGGAAAACCTGGCAAACACAATCTTAAACAAGAGAGAAATGTAAATTTTTTTAAAAAGTTAATCTTAAAAAAAAAAGTTTAGGACAAATCAAAATTGTGAGCCACCAAATATGATGCACTGAGAACTCACAAATGCTTCCAGTAGGATCTCTGACAAAATTGTATAACCTGAATCTAATTGTAAGGAAACAGCAGATAAATCCAAACGACAGACATTCCAAAAATAAATGATAGGTACTCTTAAAAAATGTCAAGGTCGGGGCGCCTGGGTGGTGCAGTCGGTTAAGCGTCCGACTTTAGCCAGGTCACGATCTCGCGGTCCGTGAGTTCAAGCCCCGCATCAGGCTCTGGGCTGATGGCTCAGAGCCTGGAGCCTGTTTCCGATTCTGTGTCTCCCTCTCTCTCTGCTCCTCCCCCGTTCATGCTCTGTCTCTCTCTGTCCCAAAAATAAATAAAACGTTGAAAAAAAAATTAAAAAAAAAAAAAATGTCAAGGTCATAACAGACACAATTCCAGACTGAAGTAGACTAAAGAGACATGTCTGAGTCCTGAACCAGAAAGGAAAGGTGGCAAAGAAAAAACATGATTGCTGTTGTTGGTTTTGCTCTAAAGGACCTTCTTAAGACAATGGCAGCATTTGAACAGAGTATATGGGTTTGACAGTGTTACATCAATATTCTTTGGCAGAGTTTGACAAGCATGCTATGGTTAGGCAGGAGATTGGAATTTTTAGGAAAGGCATGTAGACATACTAAGGGATAATGAGGCATCCCCTCATGTCTACAACTTTCAGACAGAGTGAGAACAACAAAGCAAATAGAGTATAATGTTAGTAGCTGTGGATTCTGGCTGAATGTACAGGAATTTCTGATACTATTTTTGTAATTTTTCTATACATCTAAAATTATTTCAAAACAAAAAGTTAAAAAACGTAAAAAACTATGACAAGAGACATATGAAGCAAATACAATGTGTGGACCTTATTTACATTCCGATTCAAACAAACTATTAAAAACAGTGACTACAAGGAGGGGCACTGGGTGGCTCCATCAGTTAAACACTAGACTCTTTTTGGGGGGGATTTTATTTATTTTGAGAGAGACAGATACAACGCAAGTAGGGGAGGAGCAGAGAGAGGCAGAGAGAGCGAATCCCACGCAGGTCCTGACCTGGGGCTCATACTCACGAAACTGTGAGACCATGACCTGAGCCAAAACCAACAGTAAGACACTTAACTGACTAAGCCACCCAGGCGCCCTAAACATCTGACTCTGGATTTCGGCTCAGGTCATGATCTCACAGTTTGTGAGATCAAGCCCCACGCTGGGCGCAGTGCATAGCCCCAGAGCCTGCTTGGGATTCTCTCTGCCCCTCCCCCACCTGCACACACACACACACACACACACACACACACACACACACACACACTCTATGTCTCCCAAAATAAATGAACTTTAAAAAAAATTTCAAATTTGGGGTGCCTGAGTGGCTCAGTTGGTTGAGCGTCCAACTTCAGCTCAGGTCGTGATCTCACAGCATGAGTTCGAGTCCCACGTCG